CCTCCTCCTTCCAGATTCTGGGAATCATAACCAACATTTACCAGTCTTTCCCCTTAAGAACATCGCCTCTTCACTAAGGCAGGAATTATTATGATTCCCATTTTATAGATAGCAAACTGAGACACAAAGTATGCCGTCAATCACTTTAGAGATCGTGGCAGGCCAGGACTAGGACTGAACTCCAATATCTGGCTATCATACTCTATGCCCCTCACCCAGCGCCTCTCCTCTCATAACCAAGAAGTCTTTGGTTCTTAAATGAATGAATGAACACATTTTTAAAAGATCTGTTTAATTAACTTACAAATGAAAAGAGGGGCTACAAAGGTTAAGCCTAGGTTCCGCCAGGCGCGGCTGTGGGTTCTGGACCCCACCAGCATCAGTTTCCTAGTCACTAAAATAAGGATCCCAACACCTTCGGGGGGGCTTGTGGACAGCAAATGCAGAACCGTCGTGAGCACCCAGCACAGCGCACCTGGCACAAACTAGGTTTCTATAAACTGCAAAGGCTCCAGATAACAGCTGTTCCCCGGGAATACCCGCCAGGCACAGAGGGGACCCTCCAGCGGGGCAGGGCGGCCGTCTCCATGGGAAGTAAAAGAGCAGGTGGCTTGGCGGATCTCTTCTGTCCCCGTGGTCGGCGGTTCCCTCCGGCAGAGCCACCTGACCGGGCGCCCGCGGAGATTGCGCCCACGGTCCCCCACCTGCCCCGCAGCAGGTGCGCCAGGAGGGCCCGCACCCGCCACGCCCAGGGCCAACCCCTGGGTCTCTTTGCTGGAGATGGGAAGGTCCCGCCGCAAGAGTCCGAAAGAACAAGCCCAGCTCCGGGCCAGGCGTCAGGACACCGGTCTCCCGACTTCCCCGGGAAAGAGGAAGTGGAGGTGTTGCAGGATCGCGAGCGCCGCACGAGGACCCCGCCGCAACGGAAAGAAACAGCCCCCACCGGCGCCTCCCCCCACGTGGCTCCGGCTCCCCTCCCACCCTCAGCGCCCTACCTGCCGAAGTGCCCCACGTGGTCAAAAATCAGCTCGAAGTTGACCGACCCCATGGTGCGACGGTGCGCTAGGCGAGCGCGGGGGACGGCGGGCAGAGCGCCCGCCCCGAGGGCGCCGGGGCCTCCCGAACCCCTCCGCCCGGCCGGCGGCGCCCTGGGTGTCCACCTGCCCCGGCCTCCTGCGCCCCCGCGCGTCGTCGGAGGGCTCGGGCTGTGCGCGGGGCCAGACTCCGTTCCTCCCTCCGGTGCTCAGTCCCTCCGTCTCCCCAAGCATCTTGGGTTTCTCCCCGCCACCAGCGCGTCGTGGTCCCCACAGGCCGCTGTCCCAACGCGTGCCGAGCCACCAGCTGCGCCGCTTGCCCCGCCCTCCCCGCAGCCCCTTCTGACCCCTGACACGGTGTCTGCGTGGTCGCCACGCTCGAGGGCAGCCAAGGCACCTCGGGAAAGGAGGACCCCGACCGACTGTCCAGGGTGCAGAGGCCCAGCTGGGTTTAGGGGCCGCGAGAACATAGTCTTCCGAATGACCCACCCACAACCACAGCTGTCAGACTTTCGTGCCTGAGCATCTACGCAGTACGCGGTTTTAAACATAATACGTTTTATTTTTAGACTCCACTCCTGATGATTCTGCCGTCCGGAATGGGGTCCAGGACTCTCTGTTTTTAATAATCAAAGTTATTCCAAGCCATACTTTGAAGTGGTCCAGGGTTTGACACGTACCCAACGTAGTAAGAGGTAAACTTTTCCTGTAAGGCAGTAGGTAAATGAACTTTTGGGAAGAAAATCCAATGGCCAGTCCCCAGCTCTGAAGCCTAAAAGCTAGTGTCCAGCTCTGCCACTGCGACGTGCTCTCCTCTAGTCAGCCTGGCACCGTCAGTGTGCACTGGACTCTACAGGGCCACTAGATCTTCAGCTCCTAGAGAACAGAAATGTAGTCTCTTTTTTGTTTGTTTTTTTGTTTTTGAGAGAGTCTGATTTGTTGCCCCCAGCAGAGTGCTGTGGCATCATAGCTCCCAGCAACTTCAAATTTTGGGGCTCAAGCCCTTTTCTTGTCTCAACCTCCTGAGTTGCTGGGACTACAGACACCCGCCAGAAGGCCGCGCTATTTTTAGAGACGGCATCTTGCTCTGTCTTAGGCTGTTCTGGAACCTTCGAGCTCAGGCAATCCACCGGTCTAGGCCCCCCAGAGTGCGCCCAGCTAGAGATGCATTCTCTTGATCACTTATGTAGCCTCAGTCACGTAGCAAATGACCTCCTTCCCTTTGCACTTCTCCATCTCATCCTTAAAATCTGGACACACAATACCAGTTTCTCAGAGAATTCCAACAGTTTGAGGGTCTGAGCAGGAATTCACAGAGCAGAGCATAAAGAGTGGATTCTGATGACTTTGAAAAGTGGCAGGACTTTGTAGGGCTGTGTCAAGGATTTTACTTTAACCAAAGAGCAAAGGGAATGAATTCCCTGCATAGGGTCATAAGCAGAAGAGTAACAAGAACAAACTTGCACTTGAGTTAAGCTTTGAAAAAGAGAGGAAGGCCCATTTCCCTAAGTAATTCTCTCCCCTCCTTGTCACAGAGCCTGAAACAACACCATTAAGGATTTAGTTATTTTTATTATGCATAATTCTTTCTAGATATTTTCTTTTGAAATGCAAATATTCCTGGAAGGACTAATCCATTAAATAATATAAATAATAAACAACTTGGAGTGGATTCTTTTTCAGTTTTTTTTTGACCAAGGCCAGGTTTGAACCCACCACCTCCTGTATATGGGGCCCATACCTTACTCCTTTGAGCCACAGGCACCACCCTGGAGTGGATTTTTTAATTGGGTAAATTCCTGCTAACCAGAAAGACTAAGAAACCCTAAGTCCTTTGGGTGAGGAATGCCAGAGAGATACTAGTGGTGGACTTGGATGAAAGGATGGTGAGGAGTAGTTTTGTCAAGGGCTGACCCAGGAGGAAAGGTGGGCCCCAGGAGAACTGGTCAAGATTTTACATTGCTTCAAAGCACCAAACGGAGAATTAGCTGAAGAAGATAATGGAGAAATTGAACTTTTATCTGCTGTTCTGATTACGCCAGATAGAAATGCTACAACATAGATAAAATGGGCAAATTCCTTGAAAGATACTATCAATATTCACTCAAGAAGAAACAGTTATGGCTTGGTGCTAAGGTGGTGGGTTCGAATCCAGCA